TTTTTTTTTTTTTTTTTTTTTTTTTTTTTGTAAAAGCTCTTAAGCACGGACGCTCTAGACTGACGAAAGTAATTAGTTTTTTCTGTTTGGGAACTTGACATGATATACACACAACATGCTCCAAGAATAAAGTTCCCCAGAATTTTAGTCTAGCCACTTCTCTTAACTTTTATCTGGCGGCGATAACCACATGCGTGAGGTTCTTCTTTCCACCCCCAGGATCCCGGAATCATGCTCAGAACAACAAAAACTTGCCACGTATTACACGTGTTAGTGTCGCCACAGAAATTGTCAGACTGTGCTTTCTTCTGACTTAAGAATATAAACTAAATTTCTTTCGAGAGACGTCAGCACAGTTGCTGTCAATTTACAGTATGTGTTGGGGCATAGCGAGAAAGCATCTCCAGTCTAAAAACCTCTGAAAAGATGGCGGCGCGGGGTTTCAGGAGGTCCTTTGTGACCATGTCAAGAAATTCCGCGGAATTTTCTTCCACGGAGATCTAAGGCTCCGGAACAGAGATAATCCGTTGCTCCTACTTACATTACAGAATTCCTTTACTTAATTTCAGGTAAGAAAGGGAGTTACAACTTATTTTCAACTTACGATATAGACGCGTAATGGTAATTATACAAAGAACCCTTAGGATACAAAATTACAACTTACAGTTGTGAAGCAAGCTAGGTCCGCAAAATAGTCATTTTTTTTAACCCCCCCCCCCCACAAGGTTTTCGAATTTTTTTTAAAGTCGTTAGTCCACTGTCTTTTTCGGTCCAATCAGAGTTTAGATTGGTAACTCCTCGTTTACATATCCGTGCATTGCACAGTTAATTTGGAAAGAGTCTCAATACTTTTCAATTTGGTAGCATGTTGCTCAGTTTACCAGATACAAAGCAAATATGTTAGAGTCCGAGAGAAGCCCCCAAAGAACAGCAACAGCCACGTATGCAGTAGCAAGAGCGTTTTGTTAATTCCAACGTTGGGGTGGCACTTGGAGACCCCCAGAGAAGGTCACAAGTTCCTTTTAAAAAGCGGAGTTAGGGGAATTCCAGAGAGGAGGGATTATTCTGGGGCTGACTGGTGGAAGGACCTACTGGTTAAGGACCTTCCAGCAGCAGGGTAGGGGAAACTGTCTTTAGCCTGCAGAAGTCTGGGGAGGGGCCGAGGAGGAACATCTGCTGAGCTAGCAGAAGGGATTTTGGGTCTGCTGAGATGGGCTTATGGGGGTGTTTGCTGATGGTCACCCATAAGAAGTTGTGGTTTTCATGACACCTGGTTGCTAAGCTCTGTTTCATTCTAATGAAGAGAAACTAAGGTCTGGTCGCTGCCTGGGCTCTGATCTGCTGTCCCCCATCCTCCTCACCCAACTCTAGCCTTTTTAAAGATCTACGATTTGATGTTCTAAGCGTCTTACAACAGCTAGTGCTCGAAGACATGCTTGCTTTAAAGCATTTTTTTTTTTAAACAAGATGGAATGATCCTTGGTAAATTGTGGTCGAGTAGATGTGTAGGCTTAAAAATTTGCTGGGGGTAAAATAACCACCAACCAACACGTGTTCATGCTAGTTTCAAAGTGAATATATATTCCTGGAGTGTGGTAAAAATTTTATGTAATAGTTGATTCATTTCTTGTTTCCTTCACTTAGCTGGTGATTTGTTTAAGCTTATAATTTCTTTAGAGAGTATGTTAGCCCATTATATTAATTATCAATTTTTCATGATAGGCTTCTTAAAATTCAGTGATTTTAAAGCATGCAGATGCACTGTTTTCTAGTTTCTATGTCTCTGGGTATGGTTTCACCAGATCTTTGTAGGAATAGTGTGTGGATCAGGGTCGAGGGTTCCTATCTACTCTACTGGAACAGCATCATTTTGCATATTCTAAAGTGAATTATTGCAGTTGGTATTCCCCCTTTTTTTGGTGTGGTAGGTGTAGGAGGGGGCCCTAGAAGGCTTGGAGAAAAAACAGGAGATAGCCACAGGGGTTGGTTTTGTATGTGTAATGTCTTGCCATTTCTGTCTAGCTTAGGAGCTGAGTATATCTCTCCTGTTGTCCCTTCTTTCCTCTCATTCCAGCAGACACTGGCTAACAATTTAAAATATCCAATCACATTGTAACTAACTATGTATGGGAGGAATACATACACCAAAAACCATACACAAGGCTCTGTTTTTCTGTGCTCTTGCTACATCTGCTTGTGTTCATCCAAACCTGTGCGTGCACCTTAAGGCTGTTTTCCTGAGGAAGCCCAGATAGCCTGCATTTGATTAGAATTCTCAAAGAGTGGTTTTGTTTTCTTGTAAAGTGTTAAGTGGAGGCACCTCAAGGTTTATAGGTAACAATAGGCAATTGGTCTTCCTATGTCAGAAGGTTATTGCACAATTTTTTTTAAGAGATTTTTTTAAGAAGATTTATTTATTTATTTATTTAGTTAGTTTACAGTGTTCTGTCTGCATGTGTGCCTGCAGGCCAGAAGAGGGCACCAGATTTCTTTTACAGATGGTTGTGAGCCACCATGTGGTTGCTGGGAATTGAACTCAGGACTTCTGGAAGAACAATCAGTGTTCTTACCCTCAGAGCCATCTCTCCAGCCCCGTATTGCACAAATTTTACATGCTAAATTATTTACATTTTATCCTTGTTGAACTCCACAAGTGAACATAAGGTATAGATGGAGTCCCCTTTAAGGTCATATAAGATTGACCCCCTAGGAGGGGTGGCCTTCAGGAGAAGCACTGAAAGAAGACTCACAAGGGACTTTACTCATATGACTATGGATGAAGGCTATTCCTGCTCGGCAAATGACTATACCGGAAAGAACTACAGTCCAGAAATGGAGGGCGTGCTTGTCTAGATCTTGAGTCAGGATGACACACCCTTTAATCCAAGCCTTGAGGCAGGAAGGTAACACCTTTAATCTGGGCCACACCTTCTGCTGAACAGTGGGAGGAGGGGTTCATTTGCTTCTCTCCTGCTTGTCCACGCTCTTTCAGCAAAACCATTCCTTCACTGGCCCTGGAACTGACTTCTTTGGGGTTCCAGTGTAAACAGAAGCCCTGCTGAGATACCCAGCTTTGTGGGACCGAACAATTTGTACATTCTTGTACTTTCTATTCATAGCAAGTTTAGCCATTGTTGGATTAGTTGGACTACAGCCTGTAAATCGGTCCAATAAATTCCCTTTGTTGCCGGGCTGAGGTGGTGCACGCCTTTAATCCCAGCAGTTGGGAGGCAGGGGCAGGTGGATCTCTGAGAGTTCAAGGCCAGACTGAACTACTTTCAAGGCTAGTTCCAGGACTGGATCCAAAGGTACAGACAAAGTCTGTCTTGAAAAAACAACCAACCAATCAATCAATCAATAATTTCCTTTGTATATACACGCGCGCGCACACATATGCATACACAAACACACACACACATACACATTTCCCAGTCCATAAGTTCCGTGACAATAGATAACCCTGACTAGTACACTGTGTCTTTCAGATTGTTGATTAATTCAGTTAATCAAAAAACATGAATGTGTTGAAACAGCGAAGGGGCACCAGATAGTTTGATATGCTTTTAAATGGCTTTCTCTCAAACCTTTGTATAATAGATAGATGGAAAAAAAATCCACTGTGACCGAATTCCCCAGTCTTTAAGCTGGCTTCACTGTGACAATGATTCTCAAAAGAAAGACCCATCAATATGTTTTCCATGGCTAGGGGGCTCTCATAAATCAAGACCCACGAAAGACCTAAGTGAATATTTACCGATTTTGACAGAGCAGTTGAATTTGAAAACATAAGGGAGTGGATTTGGTTAAGGTAAGTCACTAAGCTTGGCACAGCAGCTGGGAAGATTCGGTGCAGATTAGGTCACAAGGCTCTTTGCACTCCGTTTCTCCTGTGCTAAATGCTGCTTTCCCTTGATTAGAGGGACTGCGTATTCCGTGGGCTCGAGGTGCGTGTTCTTTCCTGCTTGGAAGCAGGAAGACTCAGGGCAAGTCAAGTTGAGCTTCTTAAAGCTGCTGGTTTGTTTTTGTTTTTGTTTTGTTTTTCTTTTCCTGTTTGTGGATGGGTGTTTCCCCAGCGTGTGTGTTACACTACGTGCGTGCAGTGGCCTTAGAGGCCAGGAGAGGGCATCAGACGATTGGGACTTGACTTACAAATGATTGTCAACAGCCTGTCAGCTATAGGAATTGAACCCCTTCCTCTCAAAAGGCAGTAAGTAATCTTACCTGCAGTGTGCCATTTTTCCAGACCCAACATCTCTTATTTTTTCTGTGTTCAGTAAAAAAGTAGCCCTAGAAAATATGTCCAAAGTTCCTATTTGGGGCTTGAATGGTCTGTCACTCTGTGAAGCCAGACTTACAGATAAAACTTAGTTTTAAAAATTATTTTTATTGCTCTTGGGAATGGTGAGGGAGGAGAAGAGGGAGTGGGAGGAGCAGGAGGGGATTGGGAGGAGGGGAGGAAGTGGAAATTCTTTAAATAAATAAATAAGAAAAAAACCAAAAATAAATAAAAAAAAGAAGGGAGAAAAAATTATTTTTATTTTACTTTCCTAGTAATAAAGCCAGAAAGGCTCTGACTGAGTCCCCAAAGGATTACGTCTGTCCTGTTCCCTCTCTAGTTATGGTTCTATAAAAAAGAACAAAACAAAACCAAAAACCAAAACCCAAAAAAATATCTAGAAGTGATGGAGGTCTGGGATCCCGGTGCTCTGTAGACTGAAGCAGGAGCATCTGGAGCGTTCCAGACAAGCCTGGTCTGCTTAAGTGACTATGAATGGCTGGGATGTAATCCACCAACCAGTGCAACACAGTGAGACCATGTTGGAAAAACAGCCCCACATCCTTGAGATGAACTTTTAATAAGGAACTTAAAGATGGCGTGACCTGAAAAAAAATGTATTTGCAGACATTTTAATGGACAGTTGATTATTGTCTAGGATAAATGCTATAGTCTTGAGATATTAATTGTAGCAGTTTATAAACAAAGTAAAATCTAAAAGTTCATTCTCTAACTTTTGTAAGGAAAAATGTAACAATTTAATGGGCAGAGGGAAGCAAATAGAATAAAAATGCTACTGGACCTCAATAGTGATAACAGGCAAAGACGTGGGTCCCAAACCGCCCAGGGTCCCAAACCGCCCAGGGTCCCGAACCGCCCAGGGTCCGGGAGAATTTTCAGACAGTTGGATAGCAGTGTTTGTAGTAGAGGTTTATGGCTTCAACAGACCTAGAAACTGTTTTTCTGAATAAACTGATTTTGGAATCTGTGGGGTGGGAGACGAATTAATTGGCTAGTTTTTGAAGTTCAGAGTACTGGGCCTGGTGGTGAGGCCTACCTGTGTTCTGCACTGCACACTTCCTAGAACCATGGGCTTGTTTTTGGTCCATGATTTTTTGTTGTTGTTGTTTGTTTGTTTGTTTTGTTGTTTTTTTTGGGGGGATTTCTTTAGCAGCAATTTACAATTTAGAAGCTACAAAACACCACTTTATAAAATCAAGTAATATAGACTTTATTGTCTTTCAAACCCACTGTGTCTTCTATCTCAGGACACACTCTTCTTTTAAGTTTAGAAACATCAAAACTTATATCCAAAGGATGCTCCATCGTGCCACAAGGACGGGTACTCAACTATGTTCATAGCAGCTTTGTTTGGTCATAGCCAGAATCTGGAAACAACCTAAATGCCCCTTGATCGAAGAATGGATAAGGAAAATAGTGGTACATTTACACAATGGAGTACTGCACAGCAGAAAAAAAAAATATCAGCAGGAAAATGGATGGGGCCAGGAAATATTATTTTGAGTGAGGTAACCCAGACATAGAAAGACAGTTATCAAATTTACTCACTCATAGGTGGTTTTTAAACATAAAGCAAAGAAAGCCAATCTACAAACCTCAATCCCAGAGAACTTAGACAACAATGCGGACTCTAAGAGAGACTTACATAGATCACGGCGTCCAACCCAAGGAATTTAGTCTAAGCCTGTGGAAGGTTCTTGGTGCAAGAAAAGAGAATCATGCAGGTTGTCCCCTGATCACTACAGCATGCTCAGCTTTTGTGTGTGGTTACAATACTAAATACAGAAACAAAAGCGTAACAACAAAAACTAAGAACTTCAAAGATGATTGACTTCTGAATAATAACTTTGTTTCACTTCATGATAGCAACATCTTATCTTTGTCTAAAAAATTCTTTGCATTTCATTTTTTGAATTGGTTCAAGACCTTCCTAGCTTTTTCTTCTTTCACTGGTGTGATGTAGAAGAAATCAAAGTGATACAAACGATGCTTAAAGGATTTGCTAATAGATTTGCTTAGGAGGGAGACGTTAAGTCACATAAAATAGAATTTAGCTAAGGCAGCACTGCCTCCAAAATACCCCAGAGATAAGTAATGTGCTAACCAGGCCTATTAGAGATAAGCAAAAGTTACTAGGATTCTAATGTTTGTTATCAAGATAAAAGTTACTAAGATGCTAATGTTTGTTTATGAAGATTCACCTCCAATTATGTTGCATTTCCATAACAAAAGGAGACTTTACAGCCAGTCATTATGCGCCAGCTGCAGCTCTAGGGGGCAGTGCTGAATCACAACCACCCTGCAGTCCTGGCCTGCCTCTAAGCTCTTGCTAGGAACAGCATAATTCTGCCAGGTGGGCTAGAAGAAAGAACGATTCAACAAGAACACAGCAACGGTGTACTTCAGAAATAATTCTGGCAATATCTTTGCTCTAAATCTCCTATCTGCCCAAGTGGCCAGATTTGCAGTCTCCTGCCTCTGTTTAACTTGTTCAAAGTGTAATCTGAGGCTGGGACATGAAAGAATTCTAGGGATGACAACATGTGGAATTCATAACTCTAACGTGTATGTAAGTTAGGAAAATCTTCTGCTTATGGCCAGCATCATTCACCAGAGGGGGACACATGCATATGTATTAGGGAGGGAGGTTTTCCCCTTTAATAATCTCTAAGTGTGAGGAATGATTTTTACTGGGATGGCCTAATTACTATTAAAATTAGTTTGAGAACAAACTAAGTACATATACTCTTGGATTTCTACTTTAGAGATCAATTAATTATAAGGTTATCTATGAATACAGTCTTAGAAATGGTGAATAACTGTACAGTCAAGGCAAAAACAGGAATGAAAATTAGAAAGTAGCCCTGCAGTGGTGGTGTGCACATCTTTAATCCCAGTGCTTGGGAGGAAAAGGCAGGCATAGCTCTGAGTTTGAGGATAGCCTGGTCTACAAAATGAGTTGCAGGACAGCCAAGGCTACTCAGAGAAATCCCATTTCAAACCAAACCAAACAACTAAACAAACACAAAACAAACACAACAAAAGCCCCCAAAACAAAGTAATTTTTGTATACAAGGCTGTGGGTGAGGTCAAAACACATTTCCATCCTGAAAGTGGGTCACAAGTGATCTTAATACTGTTCCGATATTTTCTGTGTTGTCTGAGGTTTGGGCAGTCTCTAACCAACTGCGTTGACAGTCTTCATTCAACAAGAGTTGTACATGAGGATTAGGCAGGTAAGGGTGAGGTTCATATTTTCTTCTTCTACCTCAGTTTTTACCCATTTAAAATAATGAGTTAAAGAAACATACCATTGACTTGATTGAAGGCAAAGAGAAGACTACGAAGGTTCTAGTCTTTCCATGTTGCTTAGTTCTGGAAATTGGACACTAGTAACCTCCCTCTTACGCTTTCTGCTGTCATTGTTTGCAGGAGGGAAGGGGAAATAATGCAGGTAGAGAAGCTTATTCTTCACCTGATGGGGACTTCTTGAGGACATCAAGAAAGGGACTCAGGGTCACACGGAGCATCTGTAAGTTCTGTTGAGAAATATTTGAATCTTGGAATTAAGGTCATTGTGGACCATGTTTCCTTTCACTGTCACATGAAAGATTTGCTGATGGTTTCAAGACGATTTTAGGGACTCATGGTTTCATTGGTTTGCTAAGGCTCCCACGTCTGTGCATTTACACCTTCACTACAAAGATCCTGGCCTTCACTACAAAGGGAATGGATTTTTTTTCCATTAAAAAACACAATTATCTTTGTCACCTAGGAAAAAAAATAACTCAAAGACTGCAGATTAAGTAGGTCACAAGGCAGTAACAATTTCTAATATTTGTTTGACCGTATTTCAACTCCTCTGCCAATTACACATATCCTTAATTATCTATGTTAAAGAACATAGATATGTAAAGAACAAGTTATGTGGAACTTTCTAGTACTTTCTTCAGGAATTACATAGTACAAAGATTGCTTATATACTTGGAACTTGCTTAATTGTTTGTATTTCACATCTGAATAACTGTTGCAAAGGCACAGTTTTTTTTTTCCTTTTTGGGGGGGTTATTTTGTTTTCTTTGACAAAAGGTGTGCCTTTACTGTGCAGGCTACCAAGGCCTACCTGCTGTGTTGAAATTCCATTACAAGATGGTTTCCTTTGCTTTTCCTAGAGTTTGCCAATGGTTCCAGTTGTAAAGCTTTTGAGGTTTATGAGCACTGAAGCTATCATTGTCCACTGCTGTCTTTCATAACCAGCCCCTAGAAACCACTTCAGTCACACCTCTGGCCCTGTCAGGATATTTAGCCCTCAGCTGGGCAAGGCGACTCATGCCTGTATTCCCAGAACAAAGTCGGTTGAACTAGGAGGATTGCTGTGGATTTGAAGCTGATTAGGACTGCAAGGTAAGTTCCAGGGCAGCCAGGTCTGCAATGATACTATCAATGTATGATCGAATGGATGAATACATAAAATAGATTTGGTGCTGTAGAGATGGCTCTAGCGGTTAAGAGCACTTGCTGCTCCTCCAGAGGACCTGAATTGGATTCCAGTTCACAGGACCATGTAACTCTAACACAATAACACCAGGGCATCTGAAAACTCCTTCCAGCCCGTGAGGATGCCAAACACGTGGCGCGCGCGCACACACACTTTCACGTAAATAAATATAAAATACAGCAATGAGTATTAAAGAGAGTAGCAGCTGGGCAGTACTTTGTCATCTCTAACCATACTTTTAATGCTTACCATTATTCAGTCCCAGTCTTCGAATTAACCAACTTTCAAAACTAATGAAATAGAATTATTCAAGACTGAATAATTAAAACAAAATTCTAAGACCACTTTAGTTTTTATTAAGACCGGCTTTGAGTCCTTAACTTTTTCTGGATTAAGAAAACCCCAAACCCTCCATTGGCCTCACAAAGTGGTCCACATCTTCAATCAGCAGCAGGGAGTTCAGAGAAAACATGATCTATTTATAAAGTGAGTTCTAGGACAGACAGAACATGGTAAGGCCCTGTCCCAACAATACAAAAACAGAAAACTTCCAAGAAGCAACCCCCCTTAAATTTTTAGTAGGGCTTTAATCTTTTTATATTTTTGGTTTAATTATACTAAGAACTTCAAGAGCACATTATATGCCTAAAGTATTAACTACCTTGTCAAATTATCACAATTCAAAAGTGTTTTAAGGGGATCTTTCCTAAAAGCATTTCACAGAAACGCATTTTACGGTTCTTTTGCTCATAGACAAAAGATATGCCATTTCTGCAGGCTTTACCAACTTTGAGAAAAATCACAAACCCTCATTAGGTAAGAAATTGAAGTTTCTTCATGCTACTGATAGTATTTCAGCACTTTCACTGGAGAAAGTAGGTGGCTCTGAAAAGAGCCTTTGTGTCTATTGCAAAGATCAATGCGA